AAAGTACTAGGTTGTATACAACACATTCTGTGCAGTATTCAGTAAGCTAGAAACCCATTGTAACCCAACTGTTTTTAAAATAGTAAGCAGTAAACAGCATATTGCGCAATACTCAGTACGTAGCGAGACAGTACGGCATTCCGAACTCAGTCGGTGTACTGTGAGCCCTCCAATGGCTGCGTGAGAAACCCCGTGCAACCGGAAGCGGAAAAAAAACCTCCCGCGGCATGAGTTTCGCCGCCATTTTGCATCAGACCTATTGAAAAGAGTGAGATAGCAGACACGGCGGGATTTGGCCACTTTATCCTCTTTCAGTACATTTCCCTCTGGATTTATCCCAACATAATCCAAGACATTAACTGACAGGTATGAGAACGTTCTCTTGAGATTTCCCGAGCGCGGAGGCGGTTGTGTTCGCGGTGAAGTGACGCTTCTTTGGCTTTCGTTAGAGAGACCGGCTTCTGTGGCGGCACAGCTCACCTCAGATCAGACATTCTCAAACATTTAGGCGTAATTCACGGACTATTGTTAGCTTTCTGTGCACGTACACTGTTAGAGTAGTGTGGTAAAGTCATGATGTGGTTGTTGTTTGTTGGCGGATCAAACACGATGTCGCCCCGTCCTCCCCTAACACACACACACACACACACACACACGTTGTCAAACAAACTTAACACGACCAACCATGACTAAAGTTTGCGGTGAAAGTGTTCGTGTGTTGTTTTTAAAGTGGATAAGGTGTCAGGTCAGGCTGAAAGACTCCTCTGAGGTGCAGAGAACAGGCTTTATCAGCGCGCAGACTGTCCACGTAGCTCATGTGTTGTGGCCTAGTGAGTGTGCCCTTGTCATTCAGCATCTGACACAACAAAGAGACACAACCCGACGAGAATAAGTCATTTTATCCACACTGGCTGCTGTTTGAAGCGGAATGTAAACATTTGTCGACGAATAAGCTAGTTAAATCTGTCGCACGTTGTGTAAATCAACCGCTTCGATCACATTATTTAATGAAGTGATTAATTGTCAAGCGCTAATGCGTCGGGGGTTTGTAAATCGCACTGGTTTTGAGACAGAAATGGCCGTTTTGTCTGTAGACAGGCAGAATCCGTTCTAGTGCTCGTGAAGCGGGAATAGCCGCTCCGGCGGAGCACGTGGAAGTCTGAGTGATGAAACGCGCGAACAGATGTAGGACCGCATGATGCTATTGTCTTCATAAAGTTGCGATTGTGAATATTCCATTGAGAATAATAGGCTGAAATAGTGTAAATATGGTGTTAAAGCCATATTTATTAATGACAATTAATTTCGATCAGAGGAGAGTGCTGATGAACTGGCTGAGCAATAAAATTACTCTATGATTTCTGTATGATTGAGTTATATCAAATCAGAGTATATTGTTAATGTGAATAAATGCTAACGTTACACCAATTTTCCCAATTAATAACAAGTACTTTTTTGACTAACTCTAGCACTCTCTATTCTAATTCTATTTTATCTATTTGGTTTTTATTTGGTTTATATTTAAAGGTTCTAGCACTAGCTTTCTCTGTTCTTTTTCTGTTTTATCTACTTGTTTGTATGTGTTATACAGTCAAACCAAAAATGTATTCAGACAGAAGATATAATTTTTGATATTTTTTTACTAGTGGGTACAGGACACTATAGTTAATTTATGTAAGTGAGGATAGCAAAATAAAGTAAACTGAGATATTATACCCAAAAATTCTTCATACAGTGGACTACCAGTAAAACTGATAAAAATGTGGGAAAAAATTATTCAGACACTTTGACCTGAGCATGTTTTGCTGAAGTGTTTTTATTTTATTGCTAATGCGACCTTTTTACACCACAGACTGAACATAATTAAGCATTGCTTGGTAATTGGTTGACCTAAATTGCTATTATCTAATTCTTTACATACCTTTCTATCAAAGTTATCTGACGTTCTGACACGGTTTAGTTCTTGTCATATTTTATCACCATTTTTTAAACTATAGCGAATAAACTGTAAATGCTGAAGGTGTCTGAATACATTTATATATAAATTTTATATATATATATATAT